AAAAATCTACATGGAGGCAAGTGAATAAGTGAACAGGGGTAAGAGTTTCTTTCCAGGGGAGGTTTTTATTGCATTAGAGTTTAACTCCTCTATATTTTCTCTTATCTTGGCCATTATTTTCCCCAAGTGTAGACATACACTTAAAAGTCCAGTTTCCAGAAAGCATTGAAACGTCTCTGTATATACTGAAAAAAATCTCAGAATTGTAAGTTAACGGTAACGTGATTAACTGTAAAGTGATTCTCCCTTTAAACACAGAAATGATTAAAATTCTGCTTTTACTCATGACATCATAGTAAAAATATTATTTGCAGGATTCCGTATGAACAGAGAATGTCCTTTTAGAAACAGTAGGTGGTAGGAAAAACGAGTTTATCCTGTTATTTCTAAACTATGATAAATACGCACACGGATATATAAATTGGTAAATGTGCACAGGAGTAGACATGTATAGGTAAGGGTATATATATTTCAAGATTGAATATAGTCTGTTTTATAGAAAACACTAGCTAAGCAAGGAGAGATGTGACGAGGTAATTCAAAACAATTAATTTAAATTTCCTTCCATTGGTTTAAACTTCTCCTGAATCTTGGGTTTATTAGGATGTAGGCTTCGTTCTTAAAGTAATTTTCTTCACTTTCCATCAGATATTTGTAATGCTTTCCCCCCTATTTCTCTGAATACTTGGGATACACATTTGCCCCAGGTTTAACATTCAAAGACATTTTCCCACTTTCTTGGCCAACAAATTCAACATGGGGGACCAACCTGCAGTATTTTATACTTCTGGCTGATGTTAACCACACAGCAAAATAAGGTATATCATTTGCTTCCGTATGTAATGGTTCAGATAAAAAGAAATTAGTAATTGTCTTAATGACCTCCCATCTAAATGTTATGTCCTCACTATGAAATTTTCACAGGAGTATTATGGGTAGGCTAACAGTAAAGATCCGTCCTTCATTTGCTTTATATTTGAAAGGTTTAACTCCTTTCTTTATGTAAGATTATAGGTTGCGGACTTCTCAAATAGAAGACGAGAAGACGACCAGCTATCCAATCAGATATTTTCAATCATTAAAATTCTTAAACTTTTCAGGTTCCAGAAAGCGAATGGCTTGCACAGAAACAACAGAAATATGAGATGGCAATAGATTACTTATTCCTAGTTGCTATCACCAGTACCCTTGAAAACTGTGGACCAAATTATCCGCTCGGTGCTGTTTGGCTCTGACAATTGTAGGCAAAATGAATGATTTTTGGATTAGAAATGGTTTTATTAGAAGAAACTTTTTGAGAGCTGTCACGGGTAGAGTTTAACGGATATGTTATTAATAGGGAAAATGTCCATTTTTAAAACCCCTAAAGCCCAGACCTGTTTTGGGATTCTGTTTGTTTGTTTTGATTTTTGCTGCTAGGACAGCCCCCTGAGGCCACTTAATAGGCTGCACCACCTCCCATGCTCTCTGGTTGTTCTCGTTGTGATGGCACTTCCAGCAGAGAACAGCTAAAATTAACAGACAGGAAACCAGACCCCCTGCCATCTCCAGAGGCCCAAATGCCAGAAATCTCAGAGAAAATTGTCAAAAATTTCAGATATTAAGGGAGAGGAGGAGAGTACAAAATAAACTAATGAATGGCCCAGGCTGGAGAACCAAGGGAACATTTAAGAAAAACCTAAATAAATGCCTCCATCTGTTGAATGCTTACTGAGGACAGAACCGTTTTCTGTTCATTGTTTTATTTAATCTCTGCCATATGATGGTCATAATATTGGCCATTTTACAGAAAACAAAATTGTAGTTTGGAGAAGTTAAATGGCAGAGGCAAGATTCAAGCTTGGTAGTTTTCTATATACATTATTATTATTTTCGATGTAAATAACATCATGTTAATTTCCATTCCAAAAAAAAAAAAAAAAAAAACCCAAAGTGCTCCAATGGTTCCTTTTCAGGTTCAGATAAAACCAAAACTCCTCATATATCAAGGCCCTGGATGCCCCGACCCCTCCCTCATCTCTCATGCCCTCCAGCTCAGCCATATAAGGCATGATGGAGATTCCCTTTCCAGCCATCAACACTCCATGTTCATTCTTCATGACTTGTAGGCATGCTATTTCCTCCCAGGTCTCCACATGGCTATCCCCTTTCGGTAACTCTCAGCTCGGTGATGCTTCTGCAGAATTCCCCCCCCCCTCCTGAAGAAACTCTCCACTGCTCTCCTTACATGTTATATTTTAATTTCTATTCCTCTGTCCTCACTGGGGATTTTGTCTTACTCATTTTCAGGCTCTGCCCCAATCCCTAGAATTAAATTCCATGAACACAGGGAGCTGCAGGCACCTGTAGCAGGGCCTGACACGGAGGAGATGTGCCCAAGTCATACTGGATGGATTAATTTAGTCCTCACAACAATCTTTTGAAAAACATAGGAGGCAAGCTTACAAATGAATTCTCTGCTACTCAAACCACAGAGCTTGCTTCACGGAGAGGAACAATTAAAACAAACCCGGAGGCAAAATCATGACCACTTTTCTATAAACTGATGCTAGACCCTCATCCCTGCCAGAAGTTGTCTTAATGAGCGGCATTGATTTTGAAGGGAAAATGGCTCATTGCAAAACAGGTAGAGCTCTAAGAAACCTTTAAAAGATATTTATATCACAGGATCCCATTCAAAAATTCCATTTATAGATTGGCCAGGAGAGAGAAGAAAAACATACATGTCTATAAAAATACGTTGTGGGAATGCAGAGAGTGATGGGTTTAACACTTAGAGAACATTAGGACATTACTGATGAAGAGAGCTGTTAATTTTAATAGTGATGGAAATTGTGCTCAGTGAATTACCAGGAACCTACGAAGCTCAAAGGGACAAAACACGAAAACTACCTTGTGTGAGGCCCTGACCACTCGTAAGAGAGGGAGGAAATATCTTTTCCTCTATGCACTGCGCTCAGCTTCGATGGAACAATTATTCAAGGTGGATATCATTTATAAAAGGAACCAGGGATACAGAAAATGCTTTTGTTTTTCATTGTTCAGTTTTATACCAAAACAAGGCTATTCAATTTTTGAGATAAGATCAAAAACATCCTTCAAGCCTTCAATATGACACACCAGAAAAGCATCCCAGGCAAATTAATCATTTTTCTCTTTTGCAAAAGCGCATGTGAAATTTCAAATTCTTTTTTCCCAATTCCAAGACTTCTTTGAAGCAGTGAAATTCGGATAAGCATATATAATATTAAAAAGGATAGGAGCGGCTCACAGTTCTTTCCCCGGGCACATTCGAGATGTGCAACAAATAAGTGGTACTGAATATTAACGTATTTGAAGACCAAAGTGTCATTTAAAAAAAAAGACAGAGGCAAGATCATTCTTTTAAGAATTTCCAAAACCTGGAAAAATTTGCAAAAATCTATATTGCTAATGTTAAATTGATGGCACCTAGCTAAAGAATAGAGTTACTGAAGCACTTAAACCTTATTGCTTTAGAAGCAGTTCAGATCTGTTTCCTACTAATCATTTCAATGTAGCTATAATAGAAAGAGTAATTACTTTTTTTTTTTTTTTAAAAAAAAACCTCACAATCTAATGGGGAGATAGCATTATCTCTATTTCTATACTATCTTGTCTTCTGCAGGAAGAAAGTATTTACTACCAATTGAGATATTAAAAGACTTTCAAGGATTAATAGCAACAGAATAAACAAGAACCACAGGGAAAATGCGGAATTAGTGAACGTGAAAGGAAAAATACAGTGGAATACCAGGTCCTGGAACCAGGGCTCGTGAGTGACGGTTCCTTTTCTTTCTCGCTATCTGGTCTTTTTTTTTTTTTTCTTTCTTTCTCTGTTTTTTTCTCTTTCTTTTGCCCGCCTCTCTTCTTTCCCTTGTTATTGCTTTCTTTCTTTTTTCTTGAAAATAAAAACTGAACACGCGGCCGCATCCTGACCAAATGTCACTCTCTCTCACTGCTCTGGTGATGCTCCCAGTATTTTTCAGCTGGGAAATCACAACTAGAACACATCTGTCTTTGTGGTTTTTATTCTAGGAGCTTGAAAGGACAAGCTATTTCTGTGACTCGTGGAGCTTTTTGTAGTGAAAATAATGTTTGAGATGATCAATTATGTATCAAAATAAATCTACAGCATACGTTATTTTGGCTTTTTTCTCCTTCTTTTTCTAGAATTCAACTGCCAGCTAACTCTCCAAATTCTTGAGAAACATCTGCTGAAAAACTCTAAAAGTAAATGCTTACAGGTAGGAAGAGCAAATAGCTCCCCATTCTATTGACAACTATCCACGTTTTGATAAAATTAACAGATTGGTTCAGTTAGACATCAAATTACTGAAGCACAAAATGGATCCTAATCACACTAATGCATTTAAGACAGAAACTGTAAAATAAAAGCATTACCAAAACGCTTAAATTTAGATTTTTTTTTTTAACAGAGTCTCACTAGGTTGCCCAGATTGGCCTTGAACTCAGGTGCTCAAGGGATCCTGCCACCTGAGCCTCCCAAGTAGCTGGGACTACAAGTATATGCCACAGAGCCCACCGTGGTAATTTAAACTTATTTAATTTAAATATTTAAATATTTATTTAAATATCATTTAAATATTATTTAAACATTATTATTGTGAATAGAAATACATACATTTGAAATACACATATGTAATTTGACAGAGCTATTTTAGAGGGTATGGCTAATATTAGAGATGAAGAAAAATACATGATTAAAATCACACCCAGGTTAATAAGAATTTTAAGAGACTGACGATGGGGTATTCCTCTGATGGTCAGTGTCAGAACCAAGGGAATTGTGATTTTCAAGTTCATGTTGAAGGCCATCCCATTCCTGACAACAGTGGGAAGAGCAGAGAAAGCAAACACAAAGCTCTTACTGCCCAGGTAAGAAGGAATTTCAAAGGTATGCTAGGGGAAGGCAGGCTGCCTCACCTCTGCTACTCCACGCTTTCTCTATTCCTCACAATATGAAAAGTAGAGTGTTAAGATCAGAAGTCCATATGTGAGCAGTGTTATTTCTTATGTGCTATACAAATAGTTGAAGTTTAATTAGCAGTATAACTATAAATAGTAATGCTGCCAGTCTCCTTCAGACAAAAAAAAAAAAAAAAAAAAAAAAAAAGCCACAAAACATTTCCAGTCCCTTCAATTGACCCTCTCGTGTATAGCAGGCTTTCTAAAACTCACACTATCTTTAATAACAGTGAATATAATGCTGAAGACAGTACTGCTAGCAGTAATCACAGGTGGCTGAGCCCACGCTAAGAATCAGCATTCATCTAAGTAGGTAACAGGGATTATCTCCCTTAACCTTTGCAATTACCCTATGAAGCACGTATCATCATCTTCTTGATCATCATCTTTTTTTGTTTTTGCAGTTTTTTTGGCTGGGGCCAGGTTTGAACCCGCCACCTCCGGTATATGGGCCCAGCCTCCTACTCCTTTAGCCACAGGTGCCGCCCATCATCATTTTTTTTATAGTCGAGGAAACAAAGACACAGAAAGGTTATATAATTCCCCTCAAATTCATATAATTATTAAGTTGTAGAATTAAGGACTAATAGGATATAAGACCTACTACTTTGACTGATATATACATGAAAAAGACAACTTCTCAAAAAGGTTATCCAAAAGCATCTGAGAGAAAATACCAGAAGCCATGTCAAACACCAAACGCAGGATGTTATAAACAGATTAAAATTTAGAAATGGAAGCATGCATGAGATGAGTGCCAGGCAGTGAGTGCTACCTGCTTGTTATCACTAAGCCATCTAATCCAAGGGCGATTGTGGGGGCTAGATTATCTCTGCTACTCACAGATGAAGGGGCCAAGAGGTCAAGACACTTGTTGACCCTGGAGCTCAAACTCTCATCAACACGCTCTCCTGCTTCTCAAAAGACCAATTCACATTTTTCTTTTAGTTTATTGGATTATCGCCTATGATAGCCCAGCTTGTTTTATCAGTCACCAGAATTACAGTTTTATGCTACCTTCATCTGTCTTGGGAGGAGTTGAGTGGTATTTAGAAATAACTCACAGATACTCGGAACTCTCATATTTACATTTTCAGCACTTACAAATAAATTTTTCAAACTGCAGAGCAGGTGCTATAACCAAACATATAAAGCCATCTATATTCCACTTGGACATTAACATGAAATTGCACTGTGCAAAACCTTATGATAACTACATTTCATTGGCAAATATTTATTGCATTTCTGATATACTTATAATAAAACAGCTTAATCCATCATTTCAACTAGATATGAATGCATGATTTTTTCTGTAGATTATGATGCTTCTTTTATGAAACATTATAACTCCCAGAGCTGAGAGTATGAAGTAAAAAGTAAAAAAAAGGGAGAAAACCTGCAAGAATAATATTTTCAATAATTTTGGGATAAGTAATATGCTAACCAGTGTGCAAACCTTCATGCGTCAAGCTGAACAGAAGCTTTTTTTATAACATAAAATACCAATTTCATGTAATCAAAACACGACTTCCACAAAACAAAACAAGATGTAATTTCACATATCTGGGGGGAATATTAAGAGCCTTTAAAAGATTTCTACTTTAATTGTGCTGAGAGGTGAAGCGCTCTTCAAGGATTGCTCTCCTGTAATAACTACCTAGATACAACTCTGATCATAACAATTAAAAATAAAAATGATGAGATTTCAGCAAAATTATTATACTTCTAAATATTGGGAACCATTTAATAACCTTAGTTTTATTATAAAACGTTAAGTCTGAGCAGAATTAAAGTGGAACAAGGTGGCTGTTTGCTACCATTGAGCATCATGATTCACTAAGACAAATCCTAGTCAGGCCAAGCTCTGAAGGTGCTCACGATTTCTATGTGTGCAGATGGAAATAGGAAGGGTGGGGCATTGGAATATATTGTTGTTTAACTCAGGAGATACTGCAAATGGAACTGATTTATTCTGCCCAGGGAGGAGAGCAGGAAGAACTACGAAGAGAATGAAAGAGTTGTTCAGGTCCTTGAAGGGTATGGGGATGCATATCAGATCAACAAATTCAAGAGTCTATGAAAAGAAAAAGGAAATTGACCAAGATAGAAAAGTATTGGATTTGCTGGCCACTGGCCAGGCACTTCTGCTGGGATATGGCAGAGAGGCAGATTTTTAAAAGAAATATTTCCAGTTTGACAATTTATAGCCCCAGTTAGGATTTATACTAAAGACATAATCTGCAGTACTACAAAGAGACGTGGGATTTGGGACAGCTAACATTATCACAGGACATTGAAAAGCTTTGGGAGGGTTTTTCGCCATGGTAGATGGTCTCTCGCGAGAAGAAAGGCAGAAATGGATGTCCCACACAAGAGTCATAATGTAGTTACCTGTGAATTTCAGAACACTTAAAGTCGAACTTCCCTTACGGCTGAGGGCAAATGAACATGATTTCAGAATTGCCAGCATAGAGCAAAATACATCCTAGAGACAGAAGCATCTGTTTGTACAACACTTAAGCCCTGAGCTGTTGCTCTCCATCGTGGGAAGGATTCAGTGGCAAAGCAGAGCAAGTGTTTAGGACAGTTATTAAAAGAGGAACTATTTACCTCGTGATATTTCAAGGAGGCATTTTTAACGCCAGGCACATCAATCCTTCAATGTCTCTTTCCTTAATTTGCATAAACATCATAATTGACAGCTTGTTAACAGTTCATTAAGAACACTAAAACCTTGTGATACACAGCAGCCTGCCAACAGCACAGTGGATGGACTATCTGGCCATGCATTTTATCTACCTCAGAAATCAACCCGGTTTACCAACAGGAAGTCCAAAAGGTGGCTTTTGCTAATCAATATTCTCATACAGACAAGCACTCAAACCCGGTGCTGCAAAGCACTCATTAAGTCCTGATTAGCAGTTAATCTGTGGCTTTCAGTGAGCTGACTTTGCTGAGTAAATGTACCCATGACCCCCCTATAATGCTAAAATAATTTTGTTTAAATAATTGCAATGGTTAGGAACACCCCTAAACGATACAAAGAAAAATGAAGAAAATAAAAGAGAACAGCTGACGCTAATGATCTGTATTTTTTTGTGCATTGCTAGAAAAACAAATTAAAAGTAAAAATAAAGGTAGCATCTCCAGTTGCATGTGTAGCTTCTTCT